TATTTTTTGCTGTGTGCTTGCACAAATTGTAGTTTATTTTTTTAAGTGCTCTGCGCATATTCGTTTTCATCTGCAGCTTGGCTGCAATTTAGGTCCTAGTTTTTGTCGGTGCGTATTCCATTTTTTTTGCTTTTACTGCATTTGACATTTGGTGACTTCTGCTTGTGCGCGTGTAATTTATGTGAGTTTTGTGCCGTGAAGTTTGTTTTTTGGTTCGAGGACAAAACGCGAAAATAAGTGTGTGAGTCGGGTGAAAAGACAGTAGAGTAACTCGCAGTAACTACCAACAAGTTTATGTGAAAAGACAGCAGACTATGGTAGGTGAAACTTTGTCGCATAAGTTTTGCTGCCTCACATAAGTGGGTAAGTCTCTGGCCGTCTCTTTCTAGCCCCCATATACCCCTCTCTGTTTGTCGCACAATCAGCTCAATGTTTGTTTGCAGTTGTCTTGTTCGGCTTGTTGTTTGTTTGTGTCTTTGTTTGTTGCTGCTCTTGTCGCTGGCTTCGTGTTTGCTCCTTGGAAAAACAAATCCAGGGAATGGAGGGTGCGAAGGAGCGACACTTGTGTAATTCATATTCATTAGCTGCCCCATTGTGTTATTGTCATGAAATTGTAATTCTGCCGAGAAGTCGCTAATAATTAAGTTGGTTGGGCAGTTTTACAAGGAGTTCAGGCAGAAAATGTGTTGAAATATTGCAAAATTAATATCTCTAGGAGAGGATAGAAGAACATAATTTTGTGTGGAAAGTTAAATTTAAATTTTATTTAATTTTGTTATCTTCCAGGGGACAAATTAAAAAATTTAATTATAATATAAAAATAAAAATGTTCAATATTAAACATCTAATAATGTTCTTATTATGAGTTATAAATAATTATCTTTAACATTTTTTCTTATTGTTTATTTTTCTTAGCAATTTCGAGATAATTACCTGACTCTGTAATGTCGATAATATTTTTTTTGACTCAGCTAATTAAATACTTTTTTGTTATTTAGTTCATCAAGCATGATTTCGTCAAACGCTGTCAGTTCCTCTGCTGTTGTTTACACCAATTTAATTGAATTTCAGTTTAGCATCATGTAGTAACCATGTCAAAAAAACAACATCAGTAAACTAGTCAAACTTGGTAAAAATCTAGTTAATTTAGAAAATGGAAGATGTAGAAGCTTACCAAAGTAAATCGAAAAATTATCCAATTATTTTTATAAATTATGTAATTATACCAGTATTTATTATATGTTAGCGTTTTAATATTTTAGATTGTTTATTGTGTTTTGCAAAGAAAAAATTTTCCAACTAAAAATATTTCAGATTTATATATAAATTTATTCTTATATTTGTATCATAACTTAGTAGTTTAAAGACTATATAAACTTCTGAAATTCTTAAGCATGTATTATTCATCCCTTTGTAGCCGGGTATAAAAATAATTTTTTATCAACTTCGAGATTAGCCAACTTTGGCTCCCCTCTCAATTGAAGTCAAATTGAATTCCAAACAAACTTGATGGCCAAATGGAAAACACTCTCTCCGACGTGTAGTGTATAATAATCAGGCTAACACACACTCATAAGGGGAGTGGGGGGGTTAGAGAGGATTTCGAGAGAGAGATGCCAACTTTATTTAACTGTTTGCCAAGCTGTCAAGCGCTGGCTAACTGCCAACACACACACTCACAGACAGGCAAACACAACAGGATTGCAGGTGATCCAGGTATTGGTTTGGTTTTGGCTGCGAATTTTAAGGGGGCAGTGTTATGGGTGGTGCAGGGGGTGGTGCAGTGGGCGGTGCTCTAGTTGGTGCAGTGGGTGTTGTAGCTGGTGGTATAGTTTTCCAAAAGGGAAACGCGGTACATTTGCGCTCAACGTGTTTGCCTTTTGGAACGTTTCACGCTTCGATTGAATCGCAGGCAAAGGCAGTAATGTGAATAGGGGAAAGAGTTGAGGGAATACTTATTTTAATCTTGCTGCAAAAATTAAATGTAAAGTTGGTCGACTATCAAGTATCTGGCACTCATATCCTCTAATCGGTGCATTTTTCAAAACTAAAAAACATAATAAAACATAAATGAAAGTATAATTTAATAATAATAATAATTTAATTTGTAGAACTAAAATATTTTTATTTACTTAAATCTTTCCGTCGATAGAAACACAAATATTTTTTTATAGTTATTTACATTGAATGGGTTTTTTTTAAAGTGATTTTAGAAATCAGTACACACACTACGAATGTTTTCCAATATTGTGTAATACAAATAAAAACACCGATTTTTTTTTAATTTTAATGTTTAATAAAATAAAAATCAATTACCATTTTTTTTTTATAATTTATTAAAATGAAAAATAAATTCAAATGGATTTTTTATTTTTCGTAACAATTTTAACAAAGAGATATACCCCAGTCCCCGTAAACTCCCTAGGTACAAAAAACCAAGCTGAAAACCAACATTCAAGCATACAGAGAGTGGGAGAAAAGGAGATAGGCGCAGGTCTGTGTGTGGAAATGCAAAAATTAAATTTTAAATATTTATAAACTATGGGAGGTGCAAGCGGATGGGAGCCGAAATGGGTGGAAAAGCGAAATGAAGGACGAGGAACAGGATGGTAGGCCAATAAAAGGAATTTGCAATTGGTCTGATTGGCTTTTAATCGCAGCAGACAGTTTTTAATAAATATGCATAACCGTTTGTGCATCCAAATGAAATACAGTGGGTGATCTCATTTATTGAACAGCTGAAGGATCTTAGCATTTATTGGTATGATGTGCAAATGTAGCTACTACAACTACAACTAAAATTACTATAATTTTAAATATATAGATTTTTGTAAATTAAAATGAATAGTCAACTGTCTATATCAAGCTTAACTCATTTAAAGGCTTGAAGGATTTTTGTTAATATTTTCTAATAAAGTATTGACATGAGAATATAGATTGTTTATTGAAAGGATAGGCTTAAAAAATGAAATCATATTTTTTGTTAGCTATTAATTGGTTGGCTCATAGTCCACTGTATTCTCCTGGCCAAGCACACCATGTTTCTTGAAAATTAGAAGGCCGTTCCGATGCAACTTCTTACGGAAACGGAAGGTTTCATAGCATTGCGGAAGGCGAAAGCAGAAAGAGTCGAGGGGAATTTATGATTTTGCCATGAGTTCCTGTTGATGTGTGGAAGGAAGCCTGTTCCGTCAGTTTCATTGCTCTCCATTCGATTCTCCCACCTCACAGTGGTTACTTATGCGCATACGGAGCACGTTGCACGTAGGACTCGCACACACACAGTTACGGATACGGATACGCCGATACCCAGATACTCAGACACTCAGACACAGATACACAGTTGCGGATACGCAATGCACACATCCTGCTCGCAGAGCACATTGTTGCGATTGATGCACATAAGAAATGCAATCGGGCCAACTGCAATTTCGTAAATCGAAGGAAAAATTTCCTAGCCGCATCAACATCGCATTTCGTCTCCGGCAGAGAGGCAATCAAACATGGCAGGAAAACTGCAGCTGGAAAACAGTTGTTGACTGTTTGCCGGCATCGCCTATATCTCCGTCACAAGGATGATGATGATCATCACCTCGGAACATGGCAACATCGAAACATCATCATCAACCGGAGAACAAGCGGAGGAGGGCAATGAGGACATATCCTCGTCATCGTCACTTTTATAGAGCTGTTTTGTCGCATCCACTGAGCTTATAAGCAGCGGCTCGTCATATGCACGTCGGAATATCAGGGGGTTTACACAGCGAGAAAATTAACATTAACGTTAACAAATAAATTAACATTAACATTAACAAATAAATTTTGAAAATAATATAAATTTAAGTCTATTGTATTTAAATTTCCAATATCAAACCCTAATATTCGGAAGGAAAGTTTGCACACTGAAATCATAAAAATAGTTTTCAAGCTCTAAGAAATTACTCAAATTTGTTTTAATTATTTTTAAATATGTATTGCGGGAAAAATATAATATTATATGTTTATGTTTTATAATATTTATCTCTACTATTTTTTCGTGTGCCTGGGCTTGTATCTGAATGCACTCTGGCAAAAGGCTTGTTTATTTGCTGGCAAAATTGTGAAATAATGTGCTGCAATCAATTCCCAATACGGCGTTCTGTGATCCCTGGCTCCTCCCTCATATATTGCTCCCCCTGTGGGCCCATGTTCCCGCACCCCTGCCTTGAAAAAGTCAGGAGAAGCGGGGAAAAATAGTGTGCAGTGAAGTGTTTTGAAGTGGCAGCTGCCACAGAGCCAACTGCAACTGCCACAACTGCATTTTCCCCCGCGCCCTTATCTCTACTTGATTTACCGCCCCCTTTTCCCATTTTGCACCCCTTTCCACAGTTTTTGCATTTTGCCCCTCCTTCATCGTAGGTAACATGCTGGTGATGAATATGTTTACATCAATAACAAAAACTCCACTATGGAGCATCAATAATGAAGCGTTGCTCTGACTCCGCTTTACAAAACCCCCGTTCTCTTCACCTGCCCACCAACAAACCCCCTCCTCAACACGTCAAAATGAGTTTACTTTGTGGTTTGATGGCTGCGTTTGCAAACTGCTCTCGTGGAGGATGAAGTATCGAGTTTTGAGTACCAGATACATTCATCTACACACGAGCACATCGAGTTCTTGACATCCTCAACCCAAAAACAACAGCAGCAATGGCAACCAGAATTATTCAGGGATTACAATAAAGGAACCACGGAGTACTTTATTTTTTGTGAAAGTACTACTGTCTGTTAAGGGATTATTATCCGTGATTGAATGTGGAGATTTAAAGAAGAGAGAAGCAAGGGAATCATTTCTAATTAATAAACATACTTGGTTGGTTATTTCACAGAATAGAAAATAAGAAAGAAAAACTTCAATACTTTAGTAAGTACGCAAAAGAAAATCGATCATTATAAAGAAATTTAAGCCACAAAGTAGCTCTTGATTTTATATTCCCTAAAAATCAACATGGTTTGAGTCAGTTGAATATTACAAGGCATACAAGATACACAAGTTACTCTGAACTCCAAAAAGGAGATTTTATGTTCATTTTCGTTGAGAACATTACATTTACACTTTTAAGCCCAAATGATGGAGAATGACAATGTGAAGGGTATCCTAAAGTCGGCGGCGAATAGCGCACAACTGTCCCTCAAGGCGGCCAAATTCGATGAGTTGAACATACTGGCCACGTTTCATCCTGTTGGTAAGGATTACGGCCACATGGTCATCGATGAAGCGAAGACTCCGTTCGTCTTTGAAGATGATTTACCCAAGGAGTTGGATACGAATGCCCTGATCGAGAAGTTGCGCCACACATCTAAGTCGGAAATGCCAGCATTTGGGATCGAAGGTGACTCCGATGATTCCTCGGCGGACGAGGATTTCCCAGAATCGGTGGAGGAGAAAGTCCGGAGGATGGAGTTCGAGAGGCGTCGTAAGCTGCACTACAAGGAGTTCTTTTCAGTTCCTTTGGCTCGTCGTCTTATAGCCGAAGAATTCGCCGATTTGACCAGCTCCGATATAAGCATCCAGAGTGAAAGGACAATTAAAAGCTACGAGGAGGTGTGCTGTGAAAGTTGTCATTCGTACGAAGAAGTTACAAGTAATGTAATGGATAACAGGTCTACACATTCGGGCAGTCAATCGGGAAGCAGGGCATCGGAACATTATGAGCCCGAGCCCGGATCTTCTCCCAGCCATCCCTGCTACCAAAAGCTACGAGCCGAGATCTATGACCAAGCCCCAGTGGAATACGCCTCGTTGACTCATCTTCAACATTTGCCCTCGGTTAACGACTCTGAAATTAATCAAGAAATTGCGGTGCCACACAGTTCGGCCATTGCGAGTGCTCGACCCACCATTATGGATTCAAGACCTGCCTCCATAAAATCGAAACCTGCACGTATATGCAAAACAATCTCCAATACTCGGGCTTCGACCTCGAAGAAAACAATCCCCTAAAATCAATCCGTATTTTCATGTAATTTTGAACAAGTTTTAAAAAAAATTTTAAGGTTTAGCTGTGAAGAACACTGGTCTTAAGCAGATAACACGCATTCGTTTTAACAATAAAAACTGCGGCAAATTTATTTTATTTTATTTTATTTCAGAATTTGCAATATGGAAATCAAAATAATTATAACAACTACTTAAGTATAATTTAGCTTTCATTAGACTAAATTTAACATCATTAGACTAAATTAAACATTTTACAATGGCTGTTCGCTTTCTCTCAAATCCTTTTCAATATTTCTAGATATTCCAGTTTGCCATTAAAGTTTGTCAACACATCAATAAAAGTGCCTTTACTAAGTTTCGTCCCATTTTAGCCTTGTTATTGTTCCGTCTAAGCTGCTTAGCCAATTTCTGGGCAGAAACCATTGGCCTGGCTAATTGTTGAGATGGTGATATGATTAGACCGCTCACCTTCAGTTGCTCCATCTATTGACACTCCGGCTGTCCAAGTTCATTGGGCTGAGGAATATTTAATTACGCCATGACCTGACTGTAATTACTGCTCGGCGAGCAAAAGATACTAAGCCAAAGTTTGCCTACTAACTTATTTCGGCACTTTGATTCGTAATTGAAAATTCCTTTGACAGTCGAAGTAGCCGAAGAGTTTTCCTTCCGGCCAATCGCTTTCATTTTAATTTAATGTTTTGGCCATTTCAATTGTTAAGAAATTTGATTTCTGGCCTTTAAGATAATTCCTCGAGTATTACACCTGCACAATCACTTGAAATAATTATGCAAAATGTTTAATTTAGCCATTAGATGTCGTAGCAGTTCAGTTTTATTATTATTAAGCTTCGGTCAATTCGTTTGCAAATGAAAGGACAACACGAAACCGGATGGCGGTTGGGGGAAGTGTCATGAATATTTATAGTGTCCATGTTATCGTTGAACAGATTTCAATTAGATTTATTTGCAAATACTTTGAGGGAGTAACTTGAATAAAAGCAACAAAGTTTATCTTTAAACGAGACGATAAGGACAAGTATTTTAAATCATCTGTACGAAAATTTAAGGCCAAGTTCAACATTCCTCTTTTGATTGTGTAAATAATATTTGTGCAATTATTTCAAAGTACTACTTACTTAATTCAATATTGACAATTTATTAAATATAATTACCATTAAGAAAATCCCTCATTTTTTTCCACCTCTGCGAAGCTGTCCATTTGCAAGGCATTTAATTTTTGATCCTTTACCCAAGGCTTTTAAATGCATTTAAACCGAGAAACACTTAAATTGGACAAACAACATGGATGGCTTAACCTGCTGGCAGCATCCTTAGCCCCGTGAAGCCATTTAATGCGAACTGGCCATTTGGCCAGGAATGATGGCCGAAGTGAAATTTAAGTTGGCTCCAATTGATGGCCACAGCATCTTTGTCTCCGTCCGGTCCTTGTTCTCCGGACTGGAGTCCTGCTCTTCCTGCCATCTTCATCTCCGTCTCGGTCTCCGTCGCCGTAACAATTGCCGTGTACATTTCATTAAGTGCATAAGCCCGTCCGGCTGTCAGCGCTCCTTTCTCCTTTCTCCTCCTTTCCCCCGAAGACCCTTCTCGCCTCTCTGCCTTCTTCCACTCCGGTCTGCTCCGTTCATGTGGAGCGATTTTAAGCCGGAAAATTATTTTTAATGCTATTTACACTCACAAATGAAAATGCAAGCGCAAATAAAGGCCGCCAGCAGTCACGAACTGGCCAACAACTTAACTGGCATAAATGCTTCTGGCCAAAAAAATATATATATCTTTTATATATATTGCAAGACGAATGGCAAATGCAGTTGTGAAAACGAATAGATGATACCTACTATGAGTTATAAATTGGAAATTAATATAAATTAATTAGGAATGCACTTAACAATTTTAATAACCTTATTCAAGTTTTTAATTCGCTGACATTTATGTATTTAATAGACTTATGAATAGTTTGTTTAAATAATTGGTATGAAGTGTAGTGGTGTAGTTATTATTGCTTCGTTTGCGTTTTCTAATTTCTGTTTTCACAGGGTATTCGAAAGACAGAAAAGGGAACTGGACGAAAAGCGAGGCCAAGGAAAAAGTGCTGCCTTAAAGCAGCTGCACACTTTTCGGACGAGGACCTCGACCTGAACGCGTGTCGCTAAAAAGTTCAGCTAAATATTTGCGAAAGCATTTTCGCTATTTGTGATGGCATTTCGTGTGGCATGCGGCATCTCCGCTCCCCATTCGCCAATCTCCCCTCCCCGGTCCCCATTCCGTCATCTCACGTTGCAAGTGCAGCACGCAAGGAAAGTCCTAGGGGAAGGACTCCAAGGGGCATTGAGGATTGAGCTGCACTTGCTTCGCTGGGGCATCAATTTTCATTTTGATAAATTATAAAATGGCCCAGCGCTGGCACCCAGAGCACCCAGCACATCCTCGGCCCAGGAATAAATGGATTGCCTGGCCATGGCCAGCGTTAACCCATGGCAGCAGCCTTGAAAATTGAATGCCAATGGGCTTGGAGAGGAGACAACAAAGCAGCTTAGATGGCTAAATGAATGGGGGACGCGATATAAGGAGCGGGTCTGGTAGCCACTTTATTGATACATCAATCATCGCAGCTCGTTGCGGTTTTAAACCACTTTCGCAGTGGTTTATTGAATTAATGGATGGACTGACTTCTTTAACTTAAAACAAAATCAAACCAGAAAAACGGGATTTTTACTTTTTACATTTTTTTAAGCAAATAAACTTAAATAGGGGAAATATGTATTATTATTTTTTTACAAAATCTAATCTGTCTGCACGTCTTTTTAAAAGCTAGGATATTCGAAACTTGCACAATTACGTTTAGACAGATCCAGTTTTTAATTAAAAATATTAGTAAACATAAAATGGGTTTATATATGTATATGTATCTTTACTAAAAACAATATTCTATAATAATTGTTTTAAAATAAAGATTTTATTTATTTTTAGGTTGGTACAAAAGTATTAGTTGAACGAAAATTAATTTGAAAAAACGTTTGTTTTAATTTTTTAAAATTCAAAACAAGACATTTTTTTATTTAAAGTTTCTGTACAATTTTTAAAACTTCAAAGGGTTAAAGTAGTAACATCATGGTTTTCTTGGCGAAGAGCGAATCATCATTAGGAGCTGGTTTTTCCCCGATTCTCCGCGTCTCCGTCTCCCTCCACTGTCTCTCTCTCTCTCTTCCTCTTCTCACTTTCTCTGTCATGTAAATGTAGCGTTGCAAGTGTGGCCAGCAAGTGACATTGTTTAATTGATTGCCACTCAACTTTTCTCTTTTTTCACCAAACTAGCTGGAAAAGCTAATAAAGATTTATGTTGTTTTAAATTTGTTGATTTTTTTGGTGCACCTGGCCAAACAAAAATACTCGAAAAGAGTTTGGGGTGAAGGATTCAGCACTCAGAATGGAGGGTGTCACGAGCCAGAGGTCAGGGTCACGCAGGTCACCCCTTTTTTCTGGCTTGGCCTAAACAAATATGGAAATGCACGCCAGCCAAGAGTGAGCACGTAGTCGGTATAAGGACTAGAAAAATGTCCTTTTATCTCGTTTACTCTCTCTATACCAACCTCTCTCTTTCATTCTCTGTTTGTGTTTATTTGTAATCAATTAAAGGATAAGGCAATCTATTAGAAAGCCAGCTGTCCCCGTTCCTTCACGAGTAGCGTGACTTGTTTGCTTAATAAACCGCAGCTGAGGGTAGTTTAACCCTCACTTCGTCACTCATTTTTCTGGTTGATAATTACTTTTTTAAGCACGCATGAATATTTTAATATTTTCGCGCAAATTAGCCTCAAATTGAAATCCATGAATATTAAAGAAATGTTTGCTTAAAAGTGAATTAAAAATAGGGAGCAATCCGTTTAGGAGAAGCAAGTAATAGAATATGTTGCAAAGTAGCATTCCCTTTAAAAGATTGTATAAAATCAATAAATCACACTCTTTTTAATGCATAGCTCACGATTTATTGTTATAACCTATAACTCAATAAATATACTCCAAAATTTCCAAACACCAACAAGTTTTTAATTTGTTCTTGCATTTTTACGATACCAGCTAATCCTTCTTGTTGCGGAAGTCGTACTATAAATTTGATTTGAATTTCCGTCCCGGAGACCATAATTTTACTAAAAATAAGCTGATTTGAAAGCGGCATATCTCGTAAGACTCGTAATTCAAAATTTTCATTTTTACGTTGATCAAATTTTTGACCCATTTTCATGTCATTTATTTCCAAGTTTCCGATGTGTTGTTAAAAGGCGACCCACAACTGGACTTCCGGATTCCACAACTTTACCAAATTTTTATCCGATTTGAAAGTGGCACATCTCGTAAGACTCGTAATTTAATTCTCAAAAAATCTGCATTCAAAATTTTCAGTTTTACGTTGATCAAATTTTTGACCCATTTTCATGTCGTTTATTTCCAAGTTTCCAATGTGTTGACAAAAGGCGACCCACAACTGGACTTCCGGATTCCACAACTTTACCAAATTTTATCCGATTTGAAAGTGGCATATCTCGTAAGACTCGTAATTTGATTCTCAAAAAATCTGCATTCAAAATTTTCATTTTTACGTTGATCAAATTTTTGACCCATTTTCATGTCGTTTATTTCCAAGTTTCCAATGTGTTGACAAAAGGCGACCCACAACTGGATTTCCGGATTCCACAACTTTACCAAATTTTATCCGATTTGAAATTGGCATATCTCGTAAGACTCGTAATTTGATTCTCAAAAAATCTGCATTCAAAATTTTCATTTTTACGTTGATCAAATTTTTGACCCATTTTCATGTCATTTATTTCCAAGTTTCCGATGTGTTGTTAAAAGGCGACCCACAACTGGACTTCCGGATTCCACAACTTTACCAAATTTTATCCGATTTGAAAGCGGCGTATCTCGTAAGACTCGTAATTTGATTCTCAAAAAATCTGCATTCAAAATTTTCATTTTTACGTTGATCAAATTTTTGACCCATTTTCATGTCATTTATTTCCAAGTTTCCGATGTGTTGTTAAAAGGCGACCCACAACTGGACTTCCGGATTCCACAACTTTACCAAATTTTATCCGATTTGAAAGTGGCATATCTCGTAAGACTCGTAATTTGATTCTCAAAAAATCTGCATTCAAAATTTTCAATTTTACGTTGATCAAATTTTTGACCCATTTTCATGTCGTTTATTTCCAAGTTTCCAATGTGTTGACAAAAGGCGACCCACAACTGGATTTCCGGATTCCACAACTTTACCAAATTTTATCCGATTTGAAAGTGGCATATCTCGTAAGACTCGTAATTTAATTCTCAAAAAATCTGCATTCAAAATTTTCATTTTTACGTTGATCAAATTTTTGACCCATTTTCATGTCGTTTATTTCCAAGTTTCCAATGTGTTGACAAAAGGCGACCCACAACTGGACTTCCGGATTCCACAACTTTACCAAATTTTATCCGATTTGAAAGTGGCACATCTCGTAAGACTCGTAATTTAATTCTCAAAAAATCTGCATTCAAAATTTTCATTTTTACGTTGATCAAATTTTTGACCCATTTTCATGTCGTTTATTTCCAAGTTTCCAATGTGTTGACAAAAGGCAACCCACAACTGGACTTCCGGATTCCACAACTTTACCAAATTTTATCCGATTTGAAAGTGGCATATCTCGTAAGACTCGTAATTTGATTCTCAAAAAATCTGCATTCAAAATTTTCATTTTTACGTTGATCAAATTTTTGACCCATTTTCATGTAATTTATTTCCAAGTTTCCGATGTGTTGTTAAAAGGCGACCCACAACTGGACTTCCGGATTCCACAACTTTACCAAATTTTATCCGATTTGAAAGCGGCATATCTCGTAAGACTCGTAATTTAATTCTCAAAAAATCTGCATTCAAAATTTTCATTTTTACGTTGATCAAATTTTTGACCCATTTTCATGTCATTTATTTCCAAGTTTCCGATGTGTTGTTAAAAGGCGACCCACAACTGGACTTCCGGATTCCACAACTTTACCAAATTTTATCCGATTTGAAAGCGGCATATCTCGTAAGACTCGTAATTTAATTCTCAAAAAATCTGCTTTCAAAATTTTCATTTTTACGTTGATCAAATTTTTGACCCATTTTCATGTCATTTATTTCCAAGTTTCCGATGTGTTGTTAAAAGGCGACCCACAACTGGACTTCCGGATTCCACAACTTTACCAAATTTTATCCGATTTGAAAGTGGCATATCTCGTAAGACTCGTAATTTAATTCTCAAAAAATCTGCATTCAAAATTTTCATTTTTACGTTGATCAAATTTTTGACCCATTTCCAAGTCCTTTATTTCCAAGTTTCCAATGTGTTGTTAAAAGGCGATCCACAACTGGACTTCCGGATTCGACAACTTTACCAAATTTTATCCGATTTGAAAATGGCACATCTCGTAAGACTCGTAATTTAATTCTCAAAAAATCTGCATTCAAAATTTTCATTTTTACGTTGATCAAATTTTTGACCCATTTTCATGTCGTTTATTTCCAAGTTTCCAATGTGTTGACAAAAGGCGACCCACAACTGGATTTCCGGATTCTACAACTTTACCAAATTTTATCCGATTTGAAATTGGCATATCTCGTAAGACTCGTAATTTGATTCTCAAAAAATCTGCATTCAAAATTTTCATTTTTACGTTGATCAAATTTTTGACCCATTTTCATGTCATTTATTTCCAAGTTTCCGATGTGTTGTTAAAAGGCGACCCACAACTGGACTTCCGGATTCCACAACTTTACCAAATTTTATCCGATTTGAAAGTGGCATATCTCGTAAGACTCGTAATTTGATTCTCAAAAAATCTGCATTCAAAATTTTCATTTTTACGTTGATCAAATTTTTGACCCATTTTCATGTCATTTATTTCCAAGTTTCCGATGTGTTGTTAAAAGGCGACCCACAACTGGACTTCCGGATTCCACAACTTTACCAAATTTTATCCGATTTGAAAGCGGCATATCTCGTAAGACTCGTAATTTGATTCTCAAAAAATCTGCATTCAAAATTTTCATTTTTACGTTGATCAAATTTTTGACCCATTTTCATGTCATTTATTTCCAAGTTTCAGATGAGTTGTTCTAAAGCGACCCACAACTGGACTTCCGGAATCCATAACTTTACCAAATTTTATCCGATTTGAAAGTGGCATATCTCGTAAGACTCGTAATTTAATTCACAAAAAATCTGCATTCAAAATTTCCATTTTTACGTTGATCAAATTTTTGACCCATTTTCATGTCATTTATTTCCAAGTTTCCGATGTGTTGTTAAAAGGCGACCCACAACTGGACTTCCGGATTCCACAACTTTACCAAATTTTATCCGATTTGAAAGCGGCATATCTCGTAAGACTCGTAATTTAATTCTCAAAAAATCTGCATTCAAAATTTTCATTTTTACGTTGATCAAATTTTTGACCCATTTTCATGTCATTTATTTCCAAGTTTCCAATGTGTTGTTAAAAGGCGACCCACAACTGGACTTCCGGATTCGACAACTTTACCAAATTTTATCCGATTTGAAAATGGCACATCTCGTAAGACTCGTAATTTAATTCTCAAAAAATCTGCATTCAAAATGTTCAGTTTTACGTTGATCAAATTTTTGACCCATTTTCATGTCATTTATTTCCAAGTTTCCGATGTGTTGTTAAAAGGCGACCCACAACTGGACTTCCGGATTCCACAACTTTACCAAATTTTATCCGATTTGAAAGCGGCATATCTCGTAAGACTCGTAATTTAATTCTCAAAAAATCTGCATTCAAAATTTTCATTTTTACGTTGATCAAATTTTTGACCCATTTTCATGTCATTTATTTCCAAGTTTCCGATGTGTTGTTAAAAGGCGACCCACAACTGGACTTCCGGATTCCACAACTTTACCAAATTTTATCCTATTTGAAAGTGGCACATCTCGTATGACTCGTAATTTAATTCTCAAAAAATCTGCATTCAAAATTTTCATTTTTACGTTGATCAAATTTTTGACCCATTTCCAAGTCCTTTATATCCAAGTTTCCAATGTGTTGTTAAAAGGCGACCCACAACTGGACTTCCGGATTCGACAACTTTACCAAATTTTATCCGATTTGAAAGTGGCATATCTCGTAAGACTCGTAATTTAATTCTCAAAAAATCTGCATTCAAAATTTTCAGTTTTACGTTGATCAAATTTTTGACCCATTTTCAAGTCATTTATTTCCAAGTTTCCAATGTGTTGTTAAAAGGCGACCCATAACTGGACTTCCGGATTCCACAACTTTACCAAATTTTATCCGATTTGAAAGTGGCATATCTCGTACGGCTCGTAATTTGATTCTCAAAAAATCTGCATTCAAAATTTTCATTTTTACGTTTATCAAATTTTTGACCCATTTTCATGTTATTTATTTCAAGTTTCCGATGTGTTGTTAAAAGGAAACCCACAACTGGATTCCCGGATTCCACAACTTTACCAAATTTTATCCGATTTTCATTTTTACGTTGATCAAATTTTTGACCCATTTTCATGTCGTTTATTTCCAAGTTTCCAATGTGTTGACAAAAGGCAACCCACAACTGGACTTCCGGATTCCACAACTTTACCAAATTTTATCCGATTTGAAAGTGGCATATCTCGTAAGACTCGTAATTTGATTCTCAAAAAATCTGCATTCAAAATTTTCATTTTTACGTTGATCAAATTTTTGACCAATTTTCATGTCATTTATTTCCAAGTTTCCGATGTGTTGTTAAAAGGCGACCCACAACTGGACTTCCGGATTCCACAACTTTACCAAATTTTATCCGATTATAAAGCGGCATATCTCGTAAGACTCGTAATTTAATTCTCAAAAAATCTGCTTTCAAAATTTTCATTTTTACGTTGATCAAATTTTTGACCCATTTTCATGTCATTTATTTCCAAGTTTCCGATGTGTTGTTAAAAGGCGACCCACAACTGGACTTCCGGATTCCACAACTTTAACAAATTTTATCCGATATATTTTTATTCGTAATTTAATTCTCAAAAAATCTGCATTCAAAATTTTCATTTTTACGTTGATCAAATTTTTGACCCATTTCCAAGTCCTTTATATCCAAGTTTCCAATGTGTTGTTAAAAGGCGACCCACAACTGGACTTCAGGATTCGACAACTTTACCAAATTTTATCCGATTTGAAAATGGCACATCTCGTAAGACTCGTAATTTAATTCTCAAAAAATCTGCATTCAAAATGTTCAGTTTTACGTTGATCAAATTTTTGACCCATTTTCATGTCATTTATTTCCAAGTTTCCAATGTGTTGTTAAAAGGCGACCCACAACTGGACTTCCGGATTCCACAACTTTACCAAATTTTATCCGATTTGAAAGTGGCATATCTCGTACGGCTCGTAATTTGATTCTCAAAAAATCTGCATTCAAAATTTTCATTTTTACGTTTATCAAATTTTTGACCCATTTTCATGTTATTTATTTCAAGTTTCCGATGTGTTGTTAAAAGGAAACCCACAACTGGATTCCCGGATTCCACAACTTTACCAAATTTTATCCGATTTGAAAGTGGCATATCTCTTAAGGGGGGAGCTTGGGTTACGGGCCTTAAAATATCAATTTTTTTTTGCAAAAATATTTATGCCCAAATTATCCTCAAATTGGAATCAATAAATATTAAAGAAATAGTAGTTCCAGAGTGAAATAAAATAAGGCGGTAATTATTAAAAGAATATATTGAAAGGGTGCACCCGCTATAAAATATGTTTTGAAAATAAAATATCTCACTCTGTTTAATGCATAGCTCACAATTTATTTGTATATCCTATAATTCAATAAAAGAAAATCAAAATTTCCAAACCAAGTTTTTAATTTTTTCTTGCATTTGTACGTTACCACCCAATCGTCGTTGTCGCGGAAGTCGTACTTTGATTTGAATTTCCGCCTCGGTAGCGATTGTTACCATTACCATTATTACCGTTGCCATTATTGCCTTGCCAGTTGCCAGGACCCATTCCATTTGGTCCGCCACCTCCATTTGGACGTCCCATTCCATTTGGTCCGCCCATTCCATTTGGTCCGCCCATTCCGTTTGGTCCGCCCATTCCATTTGGTCCGCCCATTCCGTTTGGTCCTCCCACTCCGTTTGGACCACCACCTCCATTTGGACGGCCCATTCCATTTGGTCCTCCCATTCCATTGTAACTACCCTGGCCGCCCATTCCGTTACCCCCCATGCCACCATTACCCATTCCATTACCACCCATACCATTACCGCCCATTCCTCCTGGTCCCATTCCATTGCCACCCATCCCGTTTCCATAACCACCCCTGCCACCCATTCCGCCCATTGGATTACCACCCATTCCCCCTGGACCCATTCCATTGCCACCCATACCGTTTCCATTTCCTCCACGTCCACCCATTCCTCCGGGTCCCATTCCGTTTCCGCCATTTCCGTTTCCTCCCATTCCATTCCCCATCATTCCGTTTCCACCCATTCCGTTTCCGTTCTGTCCTCCCATTCCGTTTCTATTCTGGCCACCCATTCCATTTCCTCCATTATTCATCCCATTGCCTCCGCCCATTCCACTTCCACCCATTCCGTATCCTTGCTGATTAGCTTGACGCTTTCGACGTTTAAAGAAATCACCTACAAGTGTATAGAAAACAAGGTTAATTGAAAAATTGTAACATGGTTATTAGTAAAATACTATTTTTCGCTTAGGTTGGCTTTAAACTCAAAATAGATTTCAGGTTCCACAAAATAAGGGTACAAAAATACAAACCTGAACTCAAGGAGTGATGCTCCTTTTCCTTTGCTTCACATGTAGGGTACTCCCCACATTGATCGCCAAGTTGATTTGATTCTGTACATGGTTTCCGGGTTATGATGCATATCTGACCGGGAGGACATGATATATCTCTGCAGTCACGTCCGTATTCTGTTTGAATTTACAAACAGAAATAATAATAATTGTACCTCCTAAAAATGGTTATGTTAAGCACTTACTCCTGTAGCCCTGTACATTGACAACTGTGGCTATTATTAGACATGTCCAAACAATCCTTCTCATTTTCAAGTATTTTTTCCCGTTGGCTTGCAACTGAAACTAATTTCTGAACTCTGCTTAAAAAACACCCCATTTTTATACATTTGTGACCAACATGCATGAAAACGTTTAGTAATTGATTCTGTCAAACTAAATTTACCTAATGAAAACATTAGCTAGGTCTAATTAAATATTACTGATTGATTGCCCTAAATTATGAGATAGTCACGAATTATTTGTCAGATTTTTTGAATATTCTGCCATGAGTTACTATTTACAATGCGTATTATATTCGGCATTGAACTTTTCCAAGGCCAAAGCCAAGGTCAGTTGTAAATTAAATACAATTGTCAAATTTTTATTTGATTAACGATTATAAATTAGGCATTAAAGATTATGATTAATAAGATCGAAATTCACTAAATAGTGAAAAACAATATGTTTTAAAGTGAAAACATTTTAAATACTATTACAAGTCCAGAAGCTTAATTAGTTTTGTTGTATCCTATGCATTATATACAAGCGTGTAATTATGCTTATACTTAATATACATTCCAACATTGTCAACTGCCTACTTAGCGCAAATGAGATTTTCTTGGCCTCCGTATCCACAATTTACGAGCAAAACAAATGAAACAAAGTTTTATTCTCCGTCACATGAATATCTTCCATGGAAGTCGAAAAAGTTTAGACCAGGAAAAAGTAGAAAAGGAGGAGGAATAGCGAAGATATGTAGCTGCATCTGTATGCGCATATGTAAACATTTCCTGGCTACAAGAAGTGCAAAAATCCCTTGGCTAAACTAGTTTGGCTTAACACGGCCTCAACTTTCTGCCCAGTTGAAAAAGTTTGCAGCCCCAAGAATGTATACATCATCCTTATATATATCTGTCCCACAATGGTGTTATAATTCACAACTTGAACCGGAATTTGGCGTAAAAACTTTCACTTGAGGAAATGCAGAAATTAAATTACCAAAGTCAAGTGCCAACAATATTAAATATTTTCTAGGCTCTACTTCCCAAAAGAAGTGAAAAACCAAATATAGACATTTAATTAAATCTTCATTTATTTATCGTTACATATCTATTTAATATTTTTTGTAACTTATAGCATGCATCAGTAAAAGAATTTATAAGATAAAAAATTATTCCCTTGTTTTAAATTACATTGTGTCGTAAATATATTCCTTTTGACCTTTGCTATTGTGGATATACCAAAAACTTGAACCCTTTGAAAGCAGATACGAGTTCTGAAAAAATTGTGCTACCAAAAAGTGTTTGTTCAACAATGTAACACGAAAAAACAAACAAATACAATTCGAAAATGGTTTCATTATTCTACAATATTTGAATTCCTCTTCGGCACAAACCATTGACTGACTGACTGGACCTGGTCATAGATTGGATTTGTTTTCCACATTTTCACACATTTTTTTTACATTTTTTATTCAACTTCCAGTTTGCAGGAAAGAAATTTTGCAAACCAAAATACCAGGCCGGCTGGTCGTCATTTATTTGCACTGCTCTCTGCTAAAAGCGAGCTGATCAAAAAAATAACAATAAATACACGCATGGTAGAGAGACGAACCTGACAATTTATAAGGTATTTTTTCGGTCAAGTGTTCGCCATTAAATTTATGCGCTAAAGCTTAAATAAATATAAACACGAAACTATTTGTTTTTGGTTGCCAAAAGGTTATTGGCATAAATATTTTCATTGATTTTATGGCGTTAAAATTTCAATTTTTACCTGGCAAACGGCTTTTATGTACGCTTTTGTTTCTCTATTTATTTTCATGGTTGGACGAGAGTTTAAAGTTGTAGAAGTGCTGGCAAAATTGGATTTTTCAGTGTGGCTCATAAAATATTTTTGAAGTTTTTAAACATACCTTTTTAGTTATATAATTGTTTTGTTTTTTATAGGAAACACTTATTCGGGGGTTTTTAAGATAAATAAAACATTTTCTGAGAATAAGCTTAAAATTTGATTTAATTTTCTTCGACTTTTATCACCAATTTAATAGCATATAAAATAACAAGCCACTAAAACCGAAACCCAAAGCAGCCGCACAAAATCGGCGCCTGACCACGCCCCCTTTTTTTGGCCGCAAGCGGGGGGACTCATCCTTTCTGTCCGGCGGAGACTTAACAGCTCGACAGCTGTCCGTCTGCGAGTGTTCATTCGTGCTTGTGTGAAAGCCCTGCACTTAAAAAAAAACATTTCCTTGAGCTGCTTAATTAGGAACCACCTCTATACTTACTTTTTTCCAGATTAATCTATTAAAACATATTAGCTATTCAAAGCATATTTTGGAAACAACACACCATTTCACTCGATTACTTATAAAAGGTTTAGTAAGACTAGCACTTAATTCTTTATGAATTTTAAAGTATTTTCTTAGTTTAATTTGTATACCATTGAAATATTTTGATTTTCAAGATTTTTGTTCTTTTTTAAGTTTTTTAAAATATTTTTTATTCAACTTAAAAGCTGCTTGTTTTTTTTTTAAAAATTGAATTAAAATTACAAATTTTATTCTTCAAGTGTGTCCTTCTCAAGCTCTATGGGTGTATGCGTGCATCGTTTAGATTTAGTGCCGCTTGTTACGCTTTGATGTCATGTCATTTATAAGCGACGCAGCAGCAGCTTCGGGCTGACCCCAACCCCCCGCCGCGACCATGCCATTTTACCCCCTCCCCTGGGTCCACCACTGCTTTCGGTCCCCGCCCCCGCCAAACCACCTATCGCTGCGTGCAACAAAATGCAAACTGACAGTTTAGCATGGGAACAAGTTTTCGGGGAAAAGGAAACTTAACATGACAGACCACGACAATGACGTTGGCGAAAAACTTAAAGCGAGCTTAAAGCCCGGGGGCAAAGGTCACGTGCCCGCCCACTTTTTCTCCGCCCAACCCATCGCACAAATTGCCGGACCAGCTGAGTAATTTACGCACAATAATCCGCATCGCTGAACTCTTCTTCCTTCGCTGGCCAGATGATTGATGTATGGACGTGTTAATTAGGTCCACTCGTGCCGCATTTACACTCCACTCTACGGAAAATAAGAAAAAGCCAGAAATTAAAGACTCAGATCGCCGGGGCGAAGGCAATAAAAATCTAAGCAAACGAGTGGGCAAACTTTGTTCGACGAATTGATTGATTTCCAGACACAAGCACATTAATCAGACCAGGCCAGCCAGAAATGCTGATTTGATTCGAATCGCAGCAACGGCGAAAAAGTTTTTCCCAAAAGCTCTTGATTACCAGTTAACCAGTTTTGCACAAGCCATTAAGAAGAAAGTATTTTTATACCCTTGCAGAGGGTATTATAATTTCAGTCAAAAGTTTGCAACGCAGTGAAGGAGACATTTCCGACCCTATAAAGTATATATATTCTTGATCAGGATCACCTCCTGAGTTGATATAGCCATGTCCGTCTGTCCGTCTGTCCGTCTGTCCGTCTGTCCGTCTGTCCGTCCGTCCGTTTCTACGCAAACTAGTCCCTCAGTTTTAAAGCTGCTCGAAACTTTCCCAAAAGTTGTCTTTCTATTGCAGGTAGTATATAAGTCGGAACGAGCCGGATCGGGCGACTATATCATATAGCTGCCATATAACTGAACGATCGGAAAAGCCATAACTTTGGTGTTTTTAAAGATAAGAAGATGGGACTTTCTATGGGTTTTATTTTTGGCCAATCAATCCGACATACCGAATTTCATAAGGATCGGCCGACTATATCTTATAGCTGCCATATAACTGATTGATCGGAAGTGCCATAACTTTGGTGTTTGTAAAGTTAAGAAGTTGGGATTTTCTATGGGTTTTATTTTTGGCCAATCAATCCGACATACCAAATTTCATAAGGATCGGCCGACTATAACTTATAGCTGCCATATAACTGAACGATTGGAAATGCCATAACTTTGATGTTTTTAAAGTTAGGAAGTTGGGATTTTTTATGAGTATTAAGAATGCATCATATAAATAATATTGGAGAATATAATTTACAGAGTATTCTGCAAGGGTATATCAACTTCGGCTCCGCCCGAAGTTAGCTTTCCTTTCTTGTTTTTACATGAAAACTTTTTGACAGCCTAAAGGGGAATTATAATTACCCTTTATGTAATTAGAATATTTTGTTATATTTAAATCGGTTTTGATTTTACTTCAATTGATGAAAAATAGCTGTGGTATTTGTTACTATTAACCTTATGTTTATAATTAATTAAGTTAGGTATGCCAATGATTTCAATTTAATTTGAGCTAATTTTCAATGCAACTTTTCGTTAATTGCTTTAATTTTTTCCCATTTCGTTTAACAAATATCTTTAAGCTTTGGGTAATAATATTGTTTTAAGATTGGGTGTTAATAATATTTTTATGTTTAATAAATTTCTTTACATTCTCGATTTAAAATAAATAATTGAATCATTCTACAATGTAATTTACTTAGATTTGTTTAAATTATGTTATATTTATATTTTTAGCTATTCTCATTAGTTATAAGTTAGTTTTAAATATTGTCAAAAATAAGGATATCTTTTAGTCCACATACATATCTTCAATAGTTACACACCTTTTTTCACTACCCTTAGGCCGAATACTGACAAATTCAATTTATTTCAAGTTCTCAGATCAACACAAAAAATGGGAAAAGCGCAAAAACTGCAGGCAAGGAGCAGCAGCAAAGGCGAGCGCTGAACACTGAAAAAGTGCAAGCTGTTCACTAAATCAAAAACAGATTTCGGTAACAAATTCGTTATGCACGTGACATGTCCAAACAATGCATGTGCCTCTGCCGGAGCGTTTGTTTGTGTATTCCAGTGTGTGTGGTCGCCTAAAAGAAATTTGAATAAGTGAATTTAAAAAGCGTTGGCGGCGACTAAGGCTGCCAAAAACGAAAAAGAGAATCACCTCCAACGAAAAGTCAAACAACAACAAACAAAATACGAGTGTAGGGAAAAAAACGAATGTGTGTTCTCATAGTAAAGCCAAGGACACTTTCATGAAATGCAATTTCG